AAATCAAACTTCTACCATATTTGTAAGCGTACCGGTACTTCACTTACTCGAGGAAAGCATTGTAAGAAACAAATTCATTTGTATCGCGGCAACGGAACTGTTCTTTGTTCACATTGGCATTCTAGAAAATTTCCTCTAAAATTACACGAAACCCACTCACATTTTCAAAATCTTGTTGTGGATTCTATTTAAAGATCTAATTTTGAACAACATATTTCATAAAGTAATAAATCCCAGTCATTCATGTTGTAATTTTGCAATGATGTTTTTGCAATTTCAAAAATTTAGAAAGTTCACCAGAAATGCGACATATACCATTTTTATAAGCATACTTTGGTCCATTTGAGATGAAAATTAAAGAAAATTATCTGAGCCGTTTTTTGAGAAATTACTTTTCAAATTGTCTTTACATCAAACAAATATTACGCGAAAACTACTCTATTTTGAAAAAAGAATATAATCTTACATAAATATGTATATTTCGTGGTGATCATGGCAAAACGCGAGGAAAATTATGTAGGGAAACAGGCTCGAAACATGTGAGGGAACATCCAAGGCCGCATGTGAGAAACTTGCGTGAAACATACGGGCCAATATTGGGGAACGTACAAGGAATGTAGGAGGAAGCCAGGTACATTTCTTAAGAAGTGTTCTACAAAATGAACCCTTTTTTAATCTTGTTACTATTTTAGAAAATTTATGTCTTCTGGGTACCGTACTTCGTAGCATGCATGGGTGGTTAAAAACAAGCACGAACTTGAAATCTACGTAAAATTGAACTGACACTAATAGACCCGTAACGTCAAAGTTTTCAAGTTTAAACTGGGAATCTTTATTTTAAATTATTTCATTTCATTTCTTTTTTCTCTACATTCATTTGTTTTTTACTTCGAAAAAATATATTTTCATCTCGTTGTTCATTCTCTTATATTTCCTTTTTACGTGTGTTGTTTTTCTTTTATTGCATTTTATCTTCAACTTTTTGTAGGGATAGCAATTAGACAAAGAAGTATTATTGTTGTAACGCTCCTCGAAATATCAGTAAATATCAGAACCTCGAAATATCAGTGACTATCAGAATATCAGTGAACCATTCAATCTAAAACCTTGGGAAAGATGTTCAGAAAAGCGTGGGGTTATATGTATAAATGTACTATTTTTCTGATTTCTGCAATACAAGCAGTACTTCTTCATTTCTTTTAATTTCAATTTATTCAATTTTGTTTCTGAATGATTTGTCTTTGGAGAAATGGGTATACATAATGCGTTGTGTCTGCAGTACCTAAAATGGTTCTGTACACGATTCTTCTGAGAAATATCGAGTATTAGTTGTCCGTATTGCAAAATTCAAACGCTCAATCAACAACAAACTATAATGTAAAAACAACCCAATAATTGATCGATGCAAATTAAAAAATAAAGATAAATTATTTATTAATGATTTTGTTACTAATTCACAAGTTGATAATTATTATTTTTGTGACGTAAAAAAATAATACCTTTTTTTAGTGGAATTGCTCAGGAGTTCCTTGTTGCATAAGTTTGTCATTCCGCTTCCTTAGTTCTTGCTGAAAGAGGCGCGGGGTCTGACTGAAAGACGAACTGCAGCGCCAGCCGTGGGCGCTTTGAGGAACTGAAGCAATTGTCACGACAGTCGTAAGATGGCAACAGATACGCACGTTTCTTCCTGTGTCAACTAGAAAATTCGATTGATAGGTGGAGATCAGCTCCAGAATTTATAATTAATATAATGCGTTGAAAAATGGAATACCGCCAGTTATCAGTTATTCATAAATTTGCATTTTCTATGATTAGAAAAAACGAAATGTTCTAACCACCCGGACTAATAATCTTGTAAAATACAATGTATAAATGACTAGAGGAATGGTTTTGAAGAACATACTTGCAATTGACAAAGAACCGGAATGGTGTGTACATAATGTTCTATCATTCCAGTAAGAAATTTCTACTTTCTGAGATCGTTGTTTAATGAATGAATGAATGAATGAATGAATGAATGAATGAATGAATGAATGAATGAATGAATGAATGAA